ACGCAACTATTGGGTTATCTAATAATTTTAATAAATAATTAATATTTACACTGTATTCTAAGAAATAAAACAACTTTCTTACAAGGTATCCGTACCACCTCTAAAGAAGTGAGATCAATAATTTTCATTAAAACAAATCGGAACTATTGCACGATGTTTTTCTTTGAAATGGAACGCTAAAGTTCTAATGAGTTCAGACTCGAGCTGTTTACTTCGTGTCTCATCAACATGAAAATTAATTTCATCCATCTTCTACTTTGTTCCAAGTAAACTATTTAGGAGGTCTAGAACATTAAGTGAGCTGGAAGAAGTGCTGATAGGAATGTAATTAATTCGCCATTATTCGATTGATGATAATTTACATTGCTTTTATGTATGTGGTAGATGTAAGTATGAAAGATACTTTTAAAAACTTCAATTTAATTTAGTATTTATCGTAACCCATTTAATCAAGTTTTATGCGGCTACACAGTCTAAAATATTTATTTTTAATTTTACTCTTCTCGAGTTTTAATCCGGTTTGTTAAATACCACTATATACAGTGTAAAGTATCTGTCACATGTATTTCCTCAAATACGTTGGTATTAATTAATTTTTCGAGAAATTTACATGTGGTTTTAGATATCTTACAGTTGTGTACTTCGGCGGCTGTCTCAAATATAGTGATGAAGTCCGGAAAAAGCTTTGATACTCTCAAAGGAGTTTTGCTGCCTATTATGGCACAGCTTTGATATATTAAGTTATTTGCCTCATTAGGATTCATAAGTTCTTAATATTATTTCTCTCAACACCACTTTCCTTTCTTTTTATTTCGTACTTCTATATCTAAGAGCAGAATATTACATTACAGTTGCAACACTCGTTGATCAAACCGAGGCTCACTATCGATGAAAATTGGTAAGTCTATCCTAGGACGTTGCCCGATTCAGCTCAACAGGTGTCAAAGCTGTATCAACGAAACTACCGTTTTCTTTTCTTCGTGGCTTTCTGTATTTTATACACCGGGCGCAAGACCCCGTAAGAATCGAGTAGCAACTTGATAACATGTTTCTGCCAATAAAAGAAACAATTAACAGGAAACATTGTTGAACAAAAATAAAGTTCGGCAATTTGAACATATTTGGATAACTGAATGCTTTTAGCATGTTTTCTGTGTCTCTTTTTAATACAAACAAAGAAATAATTATATTGTAATTTAGTGTAAAAGTAATTAGATATGTGTATAATACCAAAAAAATACTAAGTATATTTTTCATTGTGTGTCCTTTGGAAACAACAGTATTCATTCCGTATGGTAGAAACAACTCCTAAATGTACTCTCACGTTTATTATCATATTTATTGGAAATATTAATAGCATTCGAGAGCCAAACTACCCTAAATGTAACTACACCTTGTGTTGTTTATCAGAATAAATATAACATTACATTGACTTGTTTTCTTCTCGTGCCGTCTAATTATTTATTGCCACGATAACTAACGTGAACAAAATTCAAAGTTTTATTTATATTGGAACATATATAATACTTATTATATTTGAGGGCCGTTAAGACAAAGATCTACCGAAATGCCTCAAACATATTAAACATATCTGAATATTACATCTGGTAGCATGTGGATGTGGATGATCGTTAAATCGTTTTAAGATATATATTATTTTAAACATACAGAATATGAAGATACACACCTTTCGATGCACACTATTATTGCATTTGTATATATCTAAAGAAAAAATACTTAGCGGTGAAATGGGCATTGGGAAAGCCCTGCCGTCGAGAATCTCAGGCTTTGTTGCAGTGAACTCTCCAATTGAATAGATTAGTAAATGCGATAAAAATGTGCTATTTATTATAAAAACTACACAACACTTACTCTTGTGTCTGTGTTTCACAGTTAATCGGTTTACTCGTCATATTCAACCCCTACGTACTATGTTCTAATGATGACAAAGGCGAAGAAAGATTTGAGTTGATGTATTGAAATCACATTTTATTTGAAAAGAAAACATGCTACATAAAAATAGAATTCTCACATATGTAAGTGTAAGTTTGCGGTGGGAAATATTGTAAAATTAGAAAATCATATTTATTCAGACACTGAGAACAAGTGAAACGTGAAGGCAACCTGACCTTTTCTTTGATATACGTTTCTGGATATGTGCCGTGAACGAATTTTGTTAAGGGATTAATTGATGAATTCGTGATGTGGACACCGCACGAAAATCTCTCTATGGCATTGTCTGCGAGAGCTAAGGAATCTCCGTCGAACATATCGTGTCTGGTCGGGGGACGAGGGGCAGATACGGGAATCTGCCAGCGCCCACACAGCTATTTCCGACGGCGCCTACCGGTTCTCGTCACCGCTATCGCTCGTCCCAGATAAAAAGCGCAAGTCAGACATGGCGGACGGGCGGGCGGGGCAAGGCGTTGCCTGCAAAGCGCTCCGCCGTCGCCACACACGAAGTGCAGAACGGGCGCGTTCCGCGGATTTTTGCTCCAGCCTGCCCTCCCACAACTCCCCCCCCCCACTTGCCCCTGCTCGCACTTTCCGAATCTCCCTCTACAGCTGCGGTACAGGGAAAAATGGTATTCTCTTTGAATAAACTCTGATTTTGCCTTACGACATAATTTACGGCTGCGGCGAGGCGCCGCAACGGCTACTTTAGGAATAGGCGCCCGTTGTCAGACAAGAATGATGGTTCGTGCTGTCGTGACAGAATGACGTGCTTCTAGAAATCCAGATTCCTTTATAACACTTTTTTTGTTGCCTAATTTCCGTTTTTTGAATTAATGTTTCTCGAATTTTCTTTAAAAGCAACAGTTTTTATCTTGTTTTCAAATAAAGACAATTTTAAATTGAAAAAAGTATTTTGTGATTTGTTGAAATGTATAATTTGTCCTCAACGAATGTAAAATGATCCGCGAGAATATCAAACTTCTAATATATGTTATTGGGATAAAGTATAAAATATTCAGGGTAATATTCATCACTTGTTTCCATAACTTCCTCTGTATTACGAATTCGAGAAAGTAACAATGAGAAAATACATTTTTAACATTCACACTTTGGTGATATTTAGAGAAATTCATTTTCTGACTTGTTTTGTAAGGTTCCCTTTTCTTACTGTATTTTTTATTCTCGGCACGCCTCTTAATTGACATACAACATTTCGAAAGTGGATGCACTTAATAAACTCGACAGCAACGAACACATATGTGCCTGAAATTGAAGCTTTCTAGCATGTTCGTCCAAACCTGTCCATCCAATAAATAATTCTACCAAAATTGTCCGCTCTCTTAAGTCCTGTATAGTTAGTTCAAAGTATTTCCGTCTAATTCTTAATTTTGTCCATAGATTTTTCAATCTTCAGAAAACTGGCCCAATGTATCTCTTATCCGATCGTAATGAAATAAGAGTCCAATGGAATCAGTTCACAGCATTGTAATTTGAAACGGGAAAAGAAATATAAACGCATCATGCCAACATTTGATTTTTCCTAGAAAAATTAAAAATTCCAGGCAGAAACCTAAAATTAAATTGCTGGCACCACAGAAGAGTTTTTACTTTCCAGACAAACTGTCGCCGGTAGGTATGTTATAAATCAACACAGTGTTGAACACATTGTAAAACACTATTATGAATGTAAAGAAAATGTGCAACTCAAACTACTAGACGGCAGTTTCATACTTTCTGAAGTTACATAGAAACCTGCAGAACCGTGAAGATGAAGATTAATTTAAAGAACATTACACACTTTAGAACACGAGTATAACCGTATAAATGATTTCTGTAATATAATAAATTTTACTTTTTAGTTTTATATTTAGTTATGTAATAATTTCTGGACGTAACTCCAAACATTTCAAGATAAAATTTGAACCGTATCAGATAGGGACAAAAAATATACAGAACAAACTTTTTCACATAGTACTAAAAAGAACCGGACGAAAAAGTTATGGACAAAAAGTAATAAAGAGAAAGTTGCCGCAGGATAAAAGGGTACTAAGGACCAAATGCAGATTCGCAAACGCAATGGACGTACCTTCTGTTAACCGAAATTGAATTTACAGATTAATGCTCCTGACGTAAACAATTATTTCTTATTTTAAAATATCCATATATTAATAATAAAATGTTTTACATAACAAGTTCAATACCTGGTTAATAGATAAAATCCGTCCAAAAGAAGACTGAGTAGACACTAGAGGATACGTTACTAGATTAATGCTAGTCTATGATGGTTATTATTTTACTAAGATGGAGTGTAAATCAGTATTTAAATTCGAAATAAATTACCGCCAGTATGTTCTGTGGGTGATTAGAATACGAGGTCATTGCGCGCGCGCGAAAGAAACTAATTTATAATGATTTAGAATTATTATTTACAATATGACATGGACTGGAACAGCATTTTTTACTTCAGGGCTGTGTTGGGGCGAACTTTAAAAGTTACGAGTACTCAAAGAAAGAAGCGGGGGTCACGAAGAAGGGTTCTATTTGTAGTCCCTTTTTTAAGCTTTTAGTGATCTATAGATTCTTCTAATAAATATAATAGTAGTAATGATGGTATTGAAATAAAAATTAATGTAAAAGCAGGTAAGATGGTTCAAGTAATTTCGATGATCTATTTTTCGAGAAGAAATCGGTTGGTGTAGAGATTAAAAAGTACTGGTGCTATAACATACGCAAAACAATTATAAATACTAATAAACTTAGCAGAGTACGATAATAAAAAATATGTCGTTATATAAGGGGAGATGATCTATTTTGGAAATTTATATAAGGACATATAGCTCGTAATGTAATGATCATCGAGTTATCTCATAAACGGTGCATTGTAGCAAAATGCACGTGTCAGGTTTCAAAATGAAAACTGACAAACATCGCTAAAATATTGTTTGAATTTCGAAGAATAGCTTTTTGCGGCCGGAGTCAATTGAAACTTGCCAGTAAGGGAGTCCAAGGTACAGTTGCCAACGACCTTTCTCAGGGTGAAATGCAATATGACGGGCGAAACATACGCAACTGTGCCCACGACGCGGTGTCTCCCGACAACCAAGTATCTATTTTTTGAATTTATTTTCTTCTACTCCGAGTTCTATATAGTTTTTGAGAAATTGACAACCGAAAATAGCAAATTTTCGAAAAACCTTTTTACCTATCGCCTTTCAAGTAACGTATCCATCTAGCACTTAATCGCGGTGTTGTACATCAATGCGTTTCTAATAGACATTTTGAGCGTATGTTGCATTGTGCTTTAAAAATTTATAATTTGATATGACGAATCGTTATAACAATTTAAAATTTTCGGGGCCAATTTTGATGTTTTGTAAAAAAAGAACATTTGTGAGAAGTTGAGACAATATTATTATAAAGAATGAATTGTGGAAATATAAATTTATTACAAGTTTAAAAAACTTTGAAATAATCGGTCTAAAACATATCATAATCGAGATCTTCTCTGAGCAACCGCCTAGAGCTCTATAGATTGTTAATAGTAAGTATACCTGGTTCTAAATCACAATTCATAATGCTAATGCGGAGGCATGGAGGCTGATTGGCTAGTTCCCAATGCGCAATTCTAATATGGAATTTTCAGTGCGATAATCGCATCACTCATAACGTAAGTACTTCATGATAGTGCGATGCTGACAGCCTCAAGGGCCAAAGATAGAAGAATACTCATTTTACGCGTAGCTAAACTTTATCAAATTCCCATGACCTTTACTTTTGAAATACTTTCCTATGACTACTGTACTTACAATTTACGCAAGGGATAATACTCAAAACTTAAAAATCATATCACGTTTGGGTACGGTATCATAATTTAGGTTATAAAACAATGTAGCTTAAGGAATATCACACACAGAAAACCGAAGCACGAGTACAAACTTCGAAAGTGAAGTTGTAACGAAGAAACACAGGCTGTATATTAACATGTCGAATGAGGGATGACGACATAAGCAAAAATCGAAATGTCGATCATGCATGTGTAGGCCATCTTTGTCAGTGTGTGTAAGCCCTGAATTTCGGCCCCTGCGAACGGCTGCAGACGCGGAGCGCGGCGCGCAGGGCGTGTGCGCCGGCCTCACCTTGAAGGAGAGCTCGAGGTTCTCGCCGCCCCAGATGTCGAAGCCGCTGTCGTAGGTGCCGAGCCGCTCGAAGAAGGCCTTGTCGATGCTGAAGAGGCCGCCGGCCATCGTGGGGCTCCACACGGGCTCCGCTGTGTTGTTGTGCCGCTGCCGCTCCCGCTCAGGCACCGAGTGCCAGTTGAACTGCGGCAAGAACGCAATTCATTGTTCTTTACGTCAACAACTGAAAACATTCTAATGATTAGGCATTTTAATTACAACTTTGTATTCACAAAATGTTCTATTGATGTATCGGGGCACTCCAACAACAATGGTCATTAGCGCTGTGGATGTAGTAAGCGCTTTATCCCGGGCGGAAGAGCTCCTCCCTGCTGGAGTGTGAGTTTCGGCGCCAACTGCATTTCCGTCCTGTCTCCAGCCCTACTGAGATAAGCTCCAAGCGCCCGACGTGTGTGCCAGTGTAGTGCATGTAAGTGTAAATGTGTGCAAGGAGAAGAGTAGCACAAGGAAGAGGAACGAAAGTCAGCATGTCATGTTGTTTTATATAACCGTTTCAGATACTTTAAGAGCAGAATGATTGTAACGGGAAGTCTGAGCGAGTGACACTTGGTATCTGAGTACTTCGTACTTCTCCTCAGCGTAAATTTTCCATTAATTAATTTTGGAAATGCTGCAAAGAACGAATTAATTCAGTGCCGAAATTCAAATCGACTTGTCTGTTAATATTTCTAGTTGACTAATAAGATTGTGATGACATTCCAGCGCCCAATGGCGCAATCCTCTCTCAATTATTTTTTATCGTACTTCTAAAATTAATTTACAAGAAAACTCGAAGGAGTTGGACAATCAATAGTAGACTCAGTTTGAAATTGGTTTTTAATAATCAGAAAGTTTTTATGTTCATATCTTGTTTCTTGTGAACATTATGAAGTGACTGTGCAAGTTTGTTAGAGTCAAGGATAACTGAAAGGTATTCTGTTGCGTTCTGTGACAACCACTGTGATTTAAAAGCGAAGGGGCTCTTGTAAACACAAATATATCAGGTCCACTGCACGAATAGTAGGAGTGTGTAGATTTATGCGTCAGCGTGAGTCTGTAACACTATTTGTCAAGAAATTTTTCGCAACATTTCGTGTAATACTCATGATCTAATACTCATGTTCTAATATAATTAAAATTATTCCTACCATATTTTTATTTCATGACAAGAATACACATACATATTTATCGTGTCAAAAGACATTCCAGAAAAAAATGTTAAATATCCATTTGGTTTATTTGGATTATCCACTTTGATTTGTTCTATTAGATAATTACAATTTATTTGCATTCTTTCAAAAACTCATTCAAATCTCTAGACGTAGGCAAGATAAGATAAAATGGTAAGATTTCACTTGCTATCTGAAATCCTAGCAGCAACGTACGTACACTAAACGGGAGAAAATACGAGGTTGTTCTTCAAACAACTCAACGTAATCATATTTTTCAAAATTCCATATTCATGAATTTATATTCTTTTGGAATAAATGGAGATAGCATAAAAATACTAAAGAGTTGCATGGAAACCTTTCACAATAAAAAAAGAGTAGTTACTTCGAAACCGTAAATGATCAGTTTGCACGACATTAAAATTGCTGAAATCGATTAAAAACATGTTTAAAAATGTGAGCGCTTATCCTAAAAATACTCAATTTTACTAGTTTTACCAGATCTCAAATCATAATTCTTATTGTTCATCTGTTTTCCAAAATATAAAACATAATTTGACATACTATTATTACATAACAATACATTCCCAAATAAATGTATTTTCATAATTATTTTAATTTTTGTATATAAAAATCATTTTTTGTTAAGAGTAATGATGGTGTCTGTAATGCAATAATACTAACTCAGGATTGGCTTTTGTATGATAATTATAATGCACACTTATATTGTTACTTTTTATGCAATTGACAATAACGTATGATATTTGATAATGTTATTGAATATTGTAATGAGATACACATTGGATTTGAGTGTAATTGTGTCTACAATCGATCCATACCTAATGTCAATTACGCTGCCTCGATTTTCGTTTTTTGTCTGTTGTCTTTCTGATGCCTAAAAACATTACCCGACAATCTTGATACAATATCAAAGCGGACAATATATTCCTCCCGCACTTAAAAAATTTGTTCTCTTTTTCACACACTTTTGGTATGTGTATCAGAAAGCCAATGGTCTGTTGATAAATGAATTCATGTTAAGAATGCCTGATGCATAAATTTATATTTTGAGGCCCAAATGAACGAGATTCGTATTTGTAATGTATACTTTCGAATTAGCTTTAACTTTTGTGTGAGATTCTATGGACGATAGTGATTGTGTTTCAGTAGCGGAACTCGGATGCGTGTTTGAGTACTCAGTGTTAGATAATTCACACTGCATTGAAAAGAGATCTCAGACAATAAAACATCCTCGAGGATGAAAAGAATTAACACAGGTTACTCCCGTGCCTTTATAAATAATCACGAAGGATTGAATTTGAGGACATTAAACATTTTGTTGAGTTGTTTGAAGGTTTGGTCTGTAAATGTGTGAGGTGCTAAGAATTCTTTCTTTCAAGTATGGAAAGCATTTTTTGGAACATGAATTCTTTTCTCGAGATGTATTCATTTACTTTTGTATGTACATGTACAAATGTGTACATGTACACATTTTAATATCGCACAAAATACTAAACTTTACCAGTTTTCTTTGAACCAATTCGGATAAGTAGTTAGTGAATATAAATAATAATTTTACAAAAAGTCTTAATGGGAAAAAGTGGCCCGTTTTACTCAAGCTCTGCCTTCCCTGCGATACAGAGCGCCTTCCCGTTTGCGGCATGGTGCAGGCGACCTGCTCTGTTCACGTATCCGACGTATCGAATGCAACCCGAAGCGGAGCGCGCTGTCCGCAGGAGGGCGATGCCTATTCCGCTGCGAGCAGTCGCACAGTATAGACCTACGCGCTCAGCACGACGCCTCGCCTCCTACCTGTGTTCTGTGTTCCAGTGAAAGTTATAGGGCTACAGTAACAGTTATCAGTAACTCTCACGAATCGTGTGGTGTTAATATTCTAACAAATTAGTGCAGCATTTTCTACCGACAACGCTGGCATTCGCCAGTGTATTCTAGATGCCCTCACTAATGTCTACCCGACCGAGGGCGAAATGGAGGTCGCTTACCAAGAAGGCGACGCCCGTGAAACATCATTCCTACAAATACCCGAGCATCTACTACAACAACATCAACCAGATCAGCGGCTACCTCTACCTCCATCGCGACAGCCTCGCATGTTAAGTGGAACAATGCTGCATGACAATGTTAATGGTCAACTAAATAAGGTCAGTAATTATTTGCCGGCCAACGGCACTGCGAGTTCTTCAAAGTGCAACGGAATACCAGCGCAAGCGCAGAACCAATTTCTCAAGAGCCCAGTGGTGAGCGAGGGCGTAGTGATTCAAATCCAAACATGCAACCAAATGTTTGTGTTTGGCCATTCTAAAGGCTATGGTTTTCTCTTAAAAATAGATTTGACGCTTTAAGGAACCTACAAGAAAGTAAACCAAGTTCCGTATCCCGAAACATCACCGTTCCTGAAAACTCCGAAATTATTAGAATCCCTCCCATCCGTATTAACAATTTTGAAAACATTATAGAACTAAATAATGAAATTCAAACCCACATCACTAACCAGTTTACATCAGTCTTCAATAAGAGCAAAGCAAAAATTAACTTTAACCAAATAGAAGATTTCAGTAAAGCTATTAAATACTTTAGAAGCACTAATAAACAGTTTCACACTTAAAAGGACCCAACCAACAAAAAGTTCTCTGTGGTCATAAAACATTCATCCGTCTATTTCTCAAGAGGAAATATACCAAGATCTAAAAGCCGGTCCGGGTGGCCGAGATCGCTAAGGCAGTAGTGCCGTAGCGACCACGCACCGAAGGATCGCGGGTTCGAGTCCCGCGCATGGTTGTTCACACAATGTTCGTCCTTTCACACCCCGATCATCATCATATCGTATCATCCTCATACATACCATACCATTACAAGCAATAGTGGTCGCTAATGACCTAGTAGTTTATGCGACCTTTAAAAAAAAATTTAAAAGCTAAACATTCTTCCCTCATTAGTGTTACCAGATTACACAAGAACAATTCACCAATCCCAGTCTACCGCTGAATATTTAGAAGAGCAGAATATTGCAATAATACTTAAAACAAATGTAATATGTCTAAAAGTAAAAATTGAAAGAAGGCGCAAAGGTAAATATAGTGTCTCCGATGTTTGGATTTCGGGCATTTTGATAACAACTGTAACCATCTAATTTCTTGTATATACATTGTTCTGAGAATCATTATTCGGCCTCATGCCCACGAAAGGACGACCCTCCGAAATGTAAAAACTGCGATGGGGCGCACAGAGAAGATATCCGAACAATAGAATGCTCATATTATAAAACAATTTTGAAAAGTAAATCAAAAAATTCCCACCAAGCACCTCAAAAGTAGAGAACTAGCCATCAATCCCCTCCTCCTATGTCACCAATGCCGCTGAATACCTTCATACATCGTTAAAAAAAATCAATAGCAGTATTCATCGTCATCACCAAAGCCTTCGATCGAGTCTGGCACGAAAGACTAATATATAAACTATCGTCAATTGGAACCCCAATATATCTCTTTAAAATCATTAAATGATTCCTTAAAAACAGAACGTTTTCAGTCGTAATAGAGAACCACACCTCAAACCCACGCCCCATAAGAGTAGAACCCCCACAAGAATCCCCCCTCTCCACACTGCTATTCAACATCTACACAACGGACATTCCTACCCCCAGATTAACCGAAATAGCCCAATTCGCAGATGACACTCCAATCTATTTGTCTCATCCATCATTAAACTTTATAGCAAATGAAATCCAACATTACAAACATTAAACAACCTTCAAACATTAGAAAGTTTTTCCTCAAAATGGAAGATGAAAATCAATCCCACCAAATCAGCCGTTCAAATATTCACATTTAAACCCCATCCAATTAAAAATAAATAATAATATAATTCAATGTACTCCACATAATAAGGCAGTTAAATACTTAGGACTACATCTGGACACCACCCTCAACTGGAAAACTCATATCGACTACAAAG